ACACACACACACACACACACACACACACACACACACACACACACACACAAACAATTTTCACAATCACCATATGATATTTTGGATTATCATTAGATTTTTATCACATTTTATTTTTATACTTATTTTAACTTGTGTATGTGTGTAGTCCTAGACTTACAAAAATTCATTTAGCAACCATGCAAAATTACAACAGCACCCAAAAAGTGACCATTTTTCATATTTATGATCATTTCAGCATCCCTCTGGTCACGTGTTCAAAATTTGTATGCTTGACCACTTAATTCATATTTAAGATGGTTGCAGTGTCCCAGGGTCATGTGATCACCATTAGCAACCTTGTGATAAGTAAAGTCAGATTCACTTCACATGCACTTCACTAACAAATGCAGTGATCACTTGACAAATGTGGCAAAAAAGGCCATAAAAGGGGGGGGGAAACTTTCTTAGCAACAGAAGTTTGGGGCTCAACTGTTACAAATGAAGGACCTGTATGTGTATACTATGTCTCTGTATGTGTGTGCGTTTGTCTGTGTGTGTATAAGTACATAACAAAAGCATTCAGACTTCAGAATAGGACAACTTGCTGCAACCAAGTTGCCATGGCCTAATCGCCACAGCCAACTCGCCATGGGACAATTTGCCCTGACCAATTCGCTACAGGATAACTCGTAGGACAATTCAACTATTCAATTTAATCTCTCTCATACACACTCAAGATGGAGTGACTGGCTCGAAGTGATTCAGCCAGCTTTCATACCTAACAGAGGTGTCGAATGCAGTTAACTTGGTTTCCAGACAACCGCCTTAATCACTATACCAAACTAATAATAATTGTATAACTGTACTTTTGCACATTTATTCAATTAAGGAAAATTTTCATTAGTAAAGATCTTGCTATTGTCTGCTTTTTGAGGAATATAAAAACAAACAACTGGATAGGATAGTAATTACAGTATCTCCTCTGACATGGAAGACCAGTAGGAATCCTTGAGCTATAAACCCCTTGGGCTTACATCTCTACCTCAAATATGAGAATGACAAACAAATAGAGTTATGCCAGTTCGGATGAAACCTGGATAACGAGATCCACATCATATGTTGACAAACCAGGACAATCTGATAATGTGAGATATCAGAAAAAACAACACATAGATAAGACAAAGAAACTTGTTTGGTGGAATGCTACTATAGTACTATACCAATAGACTTAATGAGAGAGGTTATGTGAAACATATGAGTGAGCTATGGCTGGACAGAAGACCTACATCCTCACTAACTGAGAAATGGTTAGTTACTCAATGCTTCAACGAAGTGAAGAGAAAGCTGTTCTCACAACTTAAGAAACACCAACTACACATTAGATCACAGACTCAAGAAGACAAGGAAGATCAATTGGATGTGTAGCCAACATCTGTTGGAATATCACTGCCAACTCTCTACATTACAGAGTACAGCATAAGATATGAGGCATAAGATAATGTATAAACTAGTTACAACCAATCTTTGAAACTGATTATCAAAGCTTATTGGAGATAAAGATACTAGAAGCTGCCAATAGAGCCCTCATGGCAATCTCTACTACCATCATAACCAATGAACTGTTGTAGGCTGCAGCCATTATAATCATGGACCATTCTAGACAAATGGCTGTCTAATCTCCTGGTATATGATCAAAAAGAATATACCCCCTCACCCACCAGAAAATGAGTTAGAGGCTAAGATCAAGACCACTCAAAATCTCCTTATAGGGCAGATAGGTAGCATAAAAATTTAATAAATAAATTAAAACATTCAAGAGAACACTCTAGTCAGTTGCTAAAATTATAGAAGGGCATGACTACTGAAAATATACAAAGCCTGACTCTATCTGAAGCTCTAGAATATACTGCAGTTGCCAGAAAAGCTAATGAAGTCCTAGATTGCATCAACAGAGGAATAGTTTCAAGATTCTATGAAATGGTAGTACTACTTTATTGTGCACTGGTGAGATCACATGGAACACCATATCCAGTTTTGGTCACCACAATACAAAAATGATGTTGAGATTCTAGAAAAAGTGCAGAGAAAACTAACAAAGATGATACGAGGTCTAGCACTAAACCATATAAACAAAGGGAACTAGGTAAGTGTTTTCTAACAAAGAGAAGAACTAGGTTGATATTATAACAGTACTTGTGGATTTGTCACAGAAATGAGAGGTGCTGACCTATTCTCCAAGCAAGTCAAGAAATAATAGGTGGAAGATGATTAAAAAAGAACGCTAACAAAGAACTAAAGAGAAATTTCCTGACAGTGGAGAACAATTTATGACAGGGAAAGCTTACCTCCGGAAGTTGTAAGTACTCCATCACTGGAGATTTTCAAGAAGAGATTGGACAGCCATTTGTCCGGAATGGGCAGGAGACTGGAGTAGAAGACCTGCAAGGTTCCTTCCAACTTTATTATTCTGTGTTTTGTAATACCACCACGAAGTAGCTGCAGAACCTGGCAGTAGGCCACAGCTATCTCCCAGAACAGGAACCAGCTACTTTCACAGTAGCAGAAATCCAACAGTGAGTCAAGATCATGAAAATCTGGAGAGCACCTATCCAGGACATGATCCACTCTTATTGGCTAAAAAAACCCTAATAGCAGTGCACGAACACCTAGCAATATATATGAACCAGCTGTTAGCAGTAGGTTCCCACCCAGTGGCTAATTCAAGGAAGGACAGTGCTAATCAAGAAAGATCACCATTAAGAGAACAGCACCATCCAACTATTGGCCAATAACTTGCCTCATTACTACATGGAAAGTCCTACCAGGCATATAGCTGCCAAGTCACAGAACAGTATGGGCCAATACATGAGCAAAGCTCAGAAGGGAATTGAAAGTAACACCAGAGGCTCAAAACACAAATTGCTCATAGACAGAGCAGTCATCTAAGACTTAAGGTTTAGGCAAATCAATCTGAGCATAGCTGGAGTGACTACAGGAAAGCCTATGACTATATGCCACATAAATGGATTTGTGAATCCCTGTATCTATACAAAGTCAACAGGATACTAAGGATATTCCTCAAAACTCAATGGGGCTATGGAAGACAATTTTGGAAATGAATTCAAGAAAGGTTACATAAGTGGCCATCAAGTCTCGCATATATCAAGATGATAGCAGTGTTTCCTATTCTGCATATACTTGAACTCCTAAGCCAGACAATCATATTGACTGAATATGGATATAAGTTTAAGAGTGGAACTATCATCAACCATCTTTTCTACATGAATGACATATAACCATACTGAGAATATGATAAGATGTATGACACGTTGACTCGATGATCTTCCTGACACAGATCTACAATGACGATGTTGGAATATCATTTGGACTGGAAAAGTATGGCTGCATTAAAGTCAAGAGAGGGAAGGTAGTTGATTTGCTGATTCATGTAATGTGGATTTAAAGTGAGGACACTCAGATGTCATTTGAAGTGGAGATGTATGGCCGATTGGTAGTAAGGAGAGGGAAGTTAGTCAAGTTTGATAGTGTGGAACTACCAATGAGCCATATAGCAGACATACTAACCAGCTGTAAGTATCTTGGTATTCTACAATTACATGGAACCAGGAGGAGGAAGAGGAAGCAAGGAAGATACCAACACCCAAGTACTCCAAACAATGAGACTGGTCCTGAATCTCAATGGAAAGGACAAGAGCCACAATATACAGAGGTTTCCACCCCAAATCCAATATCCACAGACTGTACACCAGGTAGAAAGCAGGTGGAGAGGGCATTCAGGAGTGCATTAGTGAGAAGGGACCTAAAGATGCCATCGGATGTAGCAGCAGGCATGGCAAGAAGGTTAAGTAGAAGAATGGCCATGGCAAGACAAGACCTGTCAACGTTCTATCTAAAGATAGCTGAATTGGCAGACATTAGGAAATCCTACTGATGACTTGAAAGGGCTGGACTAAGAGAAAGCACTGAAGTACTTATCATAGCGGCACAGAAACAGGCACTAAGCACCAGATCCATGGAATCAGGGAGCTAGCATATGAGATGCAGATTCTGCAGAGAATTGCCTCAGAGACAATCCATCATAGTGGCAAAGTGTAACATACAGGCAGGAACAGAAATACAGAACAATCTGCATAACGTATGGACTATACCCTCTCAAGTCCAGATGGGAGATTTCACAGAAGGTGACAGAGAGTAGCAGGGCTAAAATCCTTTGGAATGTTCAGCTCTGACAGACAACATGTACTGGCCAATCAATCAGATATCATAAAAGCAGACAAGTACTAAAAGACTGGTGATGATAGATGTAGTATAGTAGTGACAGCAACATCAGAAAAGAGGAGCAACTCATTATTTCCTCAAAGTATATACTTGGAGGAAAAGCACAAACAATATAGTATGTGTCAAAATTAAGTAAATAAATTACAGACACTTCATTTAACCACTACTAAACAATATTATTAGTTATTTTCCAGCATGAGTATGTACCTCTATTAGTTCATCTCTTTGGCAAAGGCTTTCCTTGAGTTCATTTACTTTATGCTGTAGAACACTACACATATGTTTCTGTCTTTCCAATTCCTGCATTAAACAAACAAAGAATTATATGACTTTAAAATTTGTTTCTGTAGCTTTGGTTACTCTCAAATAACATGTTGAAACTTGTTACAACAAAGAAAGCTATTTTCAAGATTCTGTGGGCTAGTAAGAGGGTACTCTTAATATTTATTATGTAGACAGGAATAATAGCTACTCATATTTAAAGGAGTCCAATCATGAAATCTGGCTTAAGCATTTTCACAATTTCCAAGTAGTAGCCTCATCCTCACCCCAATCCCCTAAACTCCAATATTGTAATCAAGACCCCATTTTGAATAGACTCCCTGCTTGTCTCCAATTGTTGACATTAGATCAATATCTGTATATCTGACAGTATTTTTCAAATCTGTTTTAGTAAACTGTAATCATTATGGGCAAGGAATAACAGAAGAGATCTTGGTCCTCAAGTCCAATCCCCTGCTCATACAGGAGACTCATATTATTTCAGACAAATGGCTGTCCAGTCTTTAAGAGTAAGAATCAAAAGAAAGAAAAGGAGTGGAAATTGCTGCTAGAACAAATTAATTTTTCCAGGTTTGAGCAATCATAAACCTTAGTAAGGTCTTTGTCTTCATTAAAAATATGCAATGTTATTTTCAAATACCAATATGCCTAAGTACACACACATATATTTTAATATTCTGCTATTTAAAATCTACATTCTGCATATAATAAATTATAAACTTAAGTACCTTACTCTTTTCTTCGTTTTCCCTGTAGTATTCTGCTAATTGCTCTTCTCTTTCCTCAACGACATCTTTTAGAGTATCCACTTGATAGATTAAATTGTTTTTTTCATTATCAAGTTGGGCATTAGAAACCATGGCCTTCTTGTATTTCTCTTCAACTTCAGCAAGTGACTCCTAGAAACATTTCATTCCTTTATTTATTAAGCATTATTTAAATAGAAGCACACAGGATGTTCCATACTTAACCATGTTATCTTTCTAAGTTAAGTCTGTTTAAGTGTGAAAGTCAATGAAATTTTAATACGCATCCGGACATTTAAGAAATTGATTTTATTATTTTTTTGCAAATGCCAGCAATTTAAGCAAGTTATCTATAATAATTCTAGAAGACAGTTATTTTAGCTTCATGTAGCAAAAAGAATTACCAGGTAATTTTTATATTAATGTATAATCATCATTGTATAATCACAGCATAATTTTTCATAATCTGAAGTCTAAGAAAAGCACGTTTCTGTCTTTAATTTTCTTCAAGCTTCACAGTTATCACTAAGATTATAGTTAAGAAATGACTTTAATCCAATAAGAAATTACATTAGTCCTATCAAGTTGAACAAGAGATATTTTTGAACAGTAATGTAACTTTATAATTAGAAAGCAAAGTTATATATAAATTTGCAGATACAGATACACACACATAGATACACAAAATAAGTAGTATCCCTTGTTGACTAAATCTATACCTGAATGGTTTGAGAGTAGTAGATTAAAAATGAATCATGAACCCCCTCAAAAAACATTGCCTTTTGCACACTGCAATTTAAAAGAAAAAACGTTTAAATATCTATAAAAAGGATTTACAGAGTCAGACAGAAAAGAGCTTTATAAGGGAGGATAAAAAATATCATGAAAAACAGAGGACTTCAATGACAATGTATCCTGAATATTTAATATCAGCTCCAGTTTAGGAATGATATGCTTTCAAATACTAGTTTCAGGACAACACTGATAGGGAGATATCACCAACAAAATAGTAGAATGAGATGGTTCTTGGTCAAAACCCAGCAGAGCTCTTCTTATGAGTAATTTGAATAAGAGAGTTTTAAGCACAAGTGAAAAGAATTTTTACTCCCCATTCATTGAGAAAGGATCAATGAAGAGACAGAATTGATGAAAAAGCAAGTTTTCTGTATAGCATCCTTTAGATTCTAATATTTAGAAATATTAGGAAGTGCCTTGGATGTTAAATAGATAGCATTCAGGTAATATTTAATATACTGTGCTCATATCTATAGCCAATAATTCTATAAACAAAGATTGGCATTTGGCCTTGGAGTCAGATACATAAATATAAGCCCAATTTTGCACTTACTTTCTAAATGATGTATTATTTGGTATGTATTTCATTTATTTTTTCTTTATGCATGTGACTTAAAGCATTAATAAAAATTATCTAGTGGTTTATTACTTCACTTCAGAACAGAACTCTAATTTTAATTTCACTATCAATCTCTAGAAGAGTAGTTTCTAATTATTAGTTTTATAATATTTTATTTGGCAATGTAGGTTTTCATGTAAAAATAAAAAGTTAAATTATTCAAATTATTGAAAGGAAATTACATTATACAATATTAAGTACTTCAATTATCCTACTTCAGAAAATCTATGCAATAACTTAATTCTTGGAGAAGGCTCTAATGCTGGGAAAGATGGAACGAGAAGGACATACAGGATCAATGTGAATGGACACAGTTACAATGACAATAAATGCACCATTAGAAGACATGAGTTTAGAAATAGAACATTATGAAGAAAATCTATTTATGTGGTCCCTAAGAATTGACACCAACATGATAGAACAATCTTAGTATTTGATAGCACAATCTATTACTACTACTATTTATATAACATTTGTTAAATAACATTCAGCAAACTGTCTTTCACATTTGATGCTACTGAAGTAAAAGGTAATATACAATAGTAACTACCATATTTTTCAGAGTACAAGAAGCACCGGACTATAAGATGCACCTTGGTTTAGAGGAGAAAAACAAGAAACAGTTTTTTGCCTCTGCAGATCCCATTTTTGCCCTCCCCAACATCCAGAAGCACTCTACAAGCCAAAAGTGCATCTATTTTTGGTCTCCCAACGCCTCCATGCATCCTATTTTTGACCTCCCTGGCATCCAGAAGCACTCTGCAGGCCAAAAAAGGGCAAAAACGGGAGCCATGGAGGCCTCCTAAGAGTACTTCTAAATGCTGGGGAAGGCACAAATGGAATGCATGGAGGCTTTGAGAGGCCAAAAATGAGCCTGTATTCACTGTATAAGATGAACAGACATTTCCACCCACTTCTGGGGGAGAAAAAGCATGTCTTATACTCTGAAAAATACAGTATATGTACAAAACCAATTGTCCAATTTACTTGTTAGACACATACTTAATAAAAAGAGTAATTAGTATATTAGTAAAGCTCTGTTAATGAAATTTGTAAAAATGTCATTACCAAATTATTACCATAATGAGTACATGCTTGGGAGAAACCCTAATACCTTTAGTTCTTTAAGTCCCTGCATATATCTCCCCTCTACATCTTGTATCTGGTCCTTAAGATCATAGATATCCTGCAGGACATAGGAATGAACCATTGCATGAGAACAGCATAACGATTGATTATATAATTGTATGATTTAAAAATCAGGTGATATGACATATGTTTTACCTAACACATTACAGATTAAATTAAATTAATGATATACCCTTGATACCTGAAGATGACATAAATTTAAGTCTGTATTTCTTATGAAGTCTATGTACATTTAAAATACAAAATCTCTGAGAATACCAGTTTCAAACATAAACTGTTCACAATCTTGTTTTGAATGCAAATCTGAAAAGATGCATAATGACATTTGCAAACTAAAACATTATTAACAGCAGAGTTCTAAATACTGGTAGTCCTGTTCAAAGTTGCTCGTAACCTAAAACAGAAGACTACAAATCAGATTCAAAGTTCTGATGCGTGAGCCTCCTCTGCAGTGTCGTAACCGTACTTCAATTGCTCAGCAACAGAGCCACTTTTATGACCATTTAAAATATCCCATAGTCTATCCCCTCATTTTTTCTCACTTTTGCCAAAAACTGCACTTATTTCTAGTTTTTGGTACAATTTAGCCCATCAGGAACCACTGCTTCACTTAATAACTATGACATTTACTTAATGATTACAAAAGAAAGGTTATAAAATCAGGTTGGTCCATTGGTGGGATTAAAAAGTTTCAACCACCGGTTCTGTGGACATGGCTTGGTGGGCATGACTGCAGGGGTGAGATCGTGCGACTTGCACAATCATGAGCATGCCAAATGCACGCTTTGCACATGCGTTAAAACATTAAAAACTAAGCTACTAAGTCTCTCAGCTGTTTAGCACAGCAATCCACTCTGCCACGCCGAACAGCTGAGAGGTTTAAAAGGACCTAGGAACAGGACAGGCAGGTGGGCCCAACTGCAGAGCATCGGAGAGACTCAGAGCAAACTGGTTCTCTGCCAGCTGATCTTTGGCACTACTGGTATGTCAGAACTGGGCCAAACTGGTAGAATACCACCATTTTAAAACCATTGTGACATATGACTGTCAAGAACTATAGAATTTCAAAACTATGCTAAACTATATTACACTTTTAGTAAAGTTCTGCTTTCTTCTTATAGTAAGATTAATAGACCAGTTAATACAAGAAAAAAACTAGAGTGAATCTATCTGATTAAGAAACAATTATTTACAAAATAGAGTCCACTGATTTTAAAATTTGGAAAAAGTAAATACATTTATATAGTCACAAGAGTAACTAGAAGCAAAGGAATCTATGTTATATAGCTTTCATTGTTCAGTATAATTATATATTATTTTTATTTCAATATTTATAGAATCCCATAGGAGTAAGCTGGTAAATTATGGCATAGATAAACATAAATAAATCATTTTTAAAAGTGATAAGGTATTCCCTCATTTAAGTTTATGATAGATAAATGTAGCTACATTACATTCAATCTATTTCATGTTAATTAATTATTCAGCTTTAAAATTTATTTCTATACACATTTAACCAACCTCACTGGTTTTAGTGAGATTTCTTGACTTTTAAGCATTTAGAATACAGTTGAAAAAAGTTATAATGATGAATCTTGATTGGATGAATTTTTCAACCTAATACAATTTTGCAATCCGTATTCTCAAAGTAATGCATCATTCCCCAATAATTAATGTAACTTTCATACATAAATTCCATTAGAAATTCCATTTATTCCATCCAGGAAATAAATGTTTAAAATCTAATCCTCAAAATTAATCTTTCTCTTTCCTTTCTTCCTCCTTCCTTCCTTCCCTCCCATATTGCAAATATACAATTATCCTTATTAACCAGTCTATGACTGTAATAACAATTTGATTTATACAAATATATAAGAATTTTCTTTTACTGTTAAACAATAAAATTTTCTCACCCGCAATTCACTTAACGAGGTATCAGGATCAACTAGGCTGCTTGTATCTCCGCTTCCTCGTCTAGAAGAATTTTCACTTAAAGGAGTTGCTGAATTGCGAGATGCTGGCTAAAGAGGACAATTATTTTAAATTTCCTTTATATTTTAATAGTTTTCTTAGCTAAATATCAATCCAAAAAGAATATTTTAATTTTGAAAAAAAATTTCCTATATAGACTATTGTAATGCTAAATAAATTTACTGTATTGCATCAGGAAATGTTAAACTATGTCTTCTCCATTCAATCTACGTAATGATTTATTATTTTTTCAGATTTCATTCCAGTTTACTATGCAAATTATTCAGCAAGGGTTCTTCACAAATTACATTAGCCCAAATGAAGCAAGTCTGAGTATTAAAAATGATTATTTCAATAACTTATCTGGTGGTTCTGAAAACTCATTCTGGTCCATCAGACCTCTAAGCAGAAATTGTATTTGGGCATTTGCATACAAATTACCCAATTGGGAACAGCTTTTGCAAAGTTTGAAGCCACATTGGTGCTTCTAAAACAGGTGTTTAATTTATGCTAATTAATTTTGCAAAATATTTTGCATAGGTTTAGTTGCATACATCATAACCTAAATTATTCTACTTGTAAAGATGTAAAGAAATAATGAAGACAACTGCTGATACACAGGAAGACAGATCTTTTCTGCATTCTGAGGACCTGAAGGATATATTTTGAGTGGCATTGTAACTGTACTGATAATTTGATAACCAATCTGTTCAATAACTCACCCTTGTGTATACATCAGAATATGGTTTGTCAGTCTTCTCTTCAAGCTGAAAAATATTTTAAAAATTAAATGTTTTAAATTAATTTCAACTTTATATTTGAGCTGAAAAGATTAGTTTTTGTATAAACCTAGAATATCACCATAAATATTCATTTCCCTCTTTTTTCTAATATACTATCTTACACAAAGGGTCTCTAAATATAGGTTCATTAAGTCTTTTAATTATACAAAAATATTGCATTGATATCTGCCCACTTCAAATGATATGTTAATTTAGTAGAAATATCAGTATTTTTGTTAGACTGAAATACATTAACTTCTACTTCTATGCAAAATATATTTGTATTCAACATTTGAAATTGTACAATGTGATTTAATTGATAAAGAAAATCTCTTTAGTGGCACACACAATTTTTCATTAAATTCATAAATTTGAATATCTATTTCACTTTCACATCTATGTCCATGGCTGTAGAATTATAATATACTTTTTAGTAATATTCCTTCCTTAATTATTCTTAAATAAAATCTAAATATTTTGAATTGTAATCATCAAAAATTTTAGTGAGAAATATTTCATTATTTATAGTCCACTTTTTCCACAAAGTCAAGATAGTTATTTCCTAATGAATGGTTTCTAGTAGTATTCTTGTGTGATGGAAAAAATATTTCTTTTTTTGGCAGGGGGTGGGATTTGTTTTATCATAGAAAATAAAAAAACAGGTATAATTTCTTAAAATATGAAAATCAGAAGTAGTGTACTAGAAAACTACATTATGTAATACAACATAATGATGTATTACAAAATTTCATGTAAAAACAAAAGCTTCCTAAAAAATAAAGGAGTACATGGCATATTTGTTACCACATACATTTCACAAGCAACACATTATCACATACAAGTTTATCAATGTTAACCAGTGTATTTTGTATCAGATAACCCAAGAATTCTCAGTGTATGTTGAGACTTCTCAATAGAGGAACAAACAACTTTATGGGGGGAAGAATTGTTTTAAACTGGACTAGATTAGATTAATAGAAATATTCAGCAAGATTGAGTGTGACATCCTATCTCCCCACCGTGAAACAGACTGCACCATAGAAATCATTCCTGGGGCAATACTACCAAAACCCAAAATGTATGCCATGATGCCCTGGGAAATGCAAGAAATGCACAAATATCTAGACAAAAACTTAGAAAGAGGGTTCACTGAGCCAGCCAAACCACGGGTTGCAGCCCCAGTCCTATTCAAAGAAAAAAAAGATGGAACTATGAGATTATGGACTTTAGAGCGATCAAAGAACTGTGCATACACAATCTATACCCCCTCCCGCTCATGAAGGACATGCTATCCCACCTGGCCAAAGGGAAGGTCCTTAACAAATTAGATCTCAGAGAAGCATACTATCAAGTGCGCATCAGGGAGGGGGATGAATGGAAAACAGCATTCAACTGCACCCTAGGGAGCATCCAATTCAAAGCCATGCCTTTTGGACTATGGGGGGCGCAGGTGGTGTTCATGCAGTTAATAAATAAGGTGCTACACAAACATCTTTGTAAGGAGGTTCTTGTCTACTTAGACAACATTGTCATCTACACTGAGATGATGTACAACCACATACCCCTAGTCCACCAAGTACTGAAAAAACTTCTAGCAGCAAACCTGTATATCAAGCTGCTGAAATGCGAATTTCACCGATCACAGTTGGACTACCTGGGCTACCGAGTCTCTAATGAGGTCATAGAGATGTACCCAGCCAAAGTACAAGCCGTTCTGGGCTGGGAGCCCCCTCGTAACCCACATACAGCTACAAAACTTCTTGGAGTTTGCAAAGTTCTAACGACAATTCATCGCCTCCTTGGCAAGGATTGCCAAACCCATGATGGACCTCCTAAAGATAGGGAGTCCAGGAACAAAACCCCACCTGGGACAACCCCTACAGTGGGACCTAACCTGCCAAAAAGCATTTGAAACACTGAAAGAACTGTTTGCAAAAGAACCAGTACTGAAGCTTTCTGACCCCGAACAACTCTTTGTCATTCAAGCAAATGCCAGTGATGTGACAGTGGCAGCAGTGTTACTCCAAAGAAACAACCAAGGAAGCCTACAGCCCTGCGCCTATAACTCCCGCAAGCTCATGGACACAGAAAGACGATGGGCTGCATGGGAAAAAGAGGCTTTCGCAGTGAGATGGGCACAGCAAACCTGGTGCCACCTGCTGGAAGGGGGGCAAAGATCATTCAAAGACTGGACTGACCGTAAAAACCTGGAAGCCCTTAGGACCCCATGAAAACTATCGCCCAAACAAGTCCGAAGGGCTCAATACTTCAACTGATTCGATTTCATGTTAAAACACATCCTGGGGGGGGGGGGGGGACTTTCTGGCTGACGCCCTCTCCTGAATGCCCCAGTACAAATGTGAAAGGGAGGAGGCCCTAAGCGCCATCATCTCCCCTACCCAAATAGCTGCCCAAGTAACCACCAGAAGACAATGCCGTGATCAGCAAGACCAACCCGCAGACGACCTAACTATGAAACTCAAAACAAAACTGCTAGCAGACCCCTGGTTCCAGGACAATCAACACACCTTGACAAAAGGAGATAACCTGGTGTGGAAGGGGACAAAACTCTACATTCCAGAATCCCCATGCACCCCTAGTTCTTCAGATGAGCCACGACGCTAAACTGGCAGGCCAATTTGGGTTCTTAAAGACTTGTTAGTGTTTGGGGATAAACCCCCAAGCAGAGTATGCAGCAGCAGT